GTTCAGCCAAGGGGATTCCCAAAGGGGCCAGCAGCTGAGCATTGTAGCTGGAAATGCTTGCAGACGTTACTATGAGGAGCAAACGCATGTGAAATTGATGCATGCAAGGATTCTTTGTAAAAATCAAGAGGAATTCATCACAGAGAAGCAAAGATCTTTTATTTATTTCTCACAGATATAGGGAATACAAGGGATATGTTCGGGGGTAGTAATTACATGAGGCATACAATGTTAAGTTTTTGTTTATTTTGAAAAAAAAAAAGTGAAATCTACGGAAACCTTGCACGCAGTAGAATAGCACCGTGCACCCTGGGGACGCTTGCCTTGGCTTCCCAGGTAACGTTTTGTCAAGGCTGCATGTACTTCCTTGTGAAACTTACAATAGTCATTGTGTCTGAGTCTTTTGCGAGTCAATCTCCTGCATCCAGGTTCTTCACCCTCAATACTGAAGTGTGTGGGTGGCTCCTAAAAGAAAGATACACTGTTACTCAAGTTAGTTCGTCTCACAGTGGCCCTATAGGGACAGTAGGACTGCCCCTGGGGGTTTCTGAGACTAAAACTCCTTACAGGAGTTGAGAGCCTCAACTTCCTCTTGCTTCCATAATGGAATTGCTCACATCCCTGGTGGTGGCCCAGAGGGTTCAGCGTTGGGCTGCTAACCTCAAGGTGGGCAGTTCAAATCTACCAGCTACTCCATGGGTGAAAGATAAAGCAGACCATTTTACACTGATACTGCTATTTAATAGACCAAACCATAATTCTAAATTTCGCGGTCACAATCATGTCCTTTACCGCATTTCCGGCCCCCACCGCCCTCTCCACTCCCCCATACCCCCACCGCCCTCTCCACTCCCCCATACCCCATGCCCCATCCAGGATCACACATTGGATTTTGCTGTCATTTCTCATCAGTGTCATCTATTCTGGGGCAGTCCCTCGATCACTCTTTGTCTTTCACGACATTGACATGGAAGTGCGGAGGCCGGTTATTGTATAGAACGTCTCATTTTGGCTCTGTCTGAAGGTTCCACGTGATGTGGTCCGGGTTATGGATTGTTGGCGGCATGCTGCATACATGCTGCCCTGTCCTCCTGCCTTTGTGAAACGCTTTATTTTTGGACAGCTGCAGACACAGGGAACAGGAGTCAGGGTGATAGAATGAACTCCAGTGGACTTGTCCACTAGCTTCAATGAATCTTAACCTCCCTCCGGATATTCATTAGGAGCCCTGTTGGCATAGTGGTGATGTGTTGGGCTGCTAACCTCAAGGTTGGCAGTTCAAAACCACCAGATACTCTGAGAGGGAAAGATG